TGAGCAGTGTACACTGCACCCAATGTCTAGTCGTTCATCCTTCACCCCCATTCCCACCCTTTCACCTGTGTCCCCAAAGTCCACTGACTCATTCTTATGCATTTCCATCCTCATCTCTTAGCTACCACTTATAAGGGGGAACATACGATGTCTGTTTTTTCATTCCCAAGTTACTTTACTTAGAATTATAATCTCTAACAACTCCATCCAGGTTGCTGTGAATGCCATTATTTTTTTCCTTTTTATGGCTGAGTTATGGTTACAGTACATATGTACGTGTGTGTGTGTGTGTGTGTGTGTGTGTGTGTGTGTGTGTAGTATTTCATGGTGTCATGGTGTGTGTGTGTGTATATATATATATATACACATTATAGTGTGTGTGTGTGCATGTGTGTATATATATATAAGTATTCCATGGTGTGTGTGTATATCTGATCCTAAAAATATATATGTGTGTATATACATGCACACCATGGAATACTATATATATATATATATATATATATATATATATATATATATATTCAACCACAACAAAGATAAATAGATAGGGCTTAATTAGAGGGCATTTTGATGGGAATTGCATTGAATTTGTAGACTGCTTTTGGCAGTATAGTCAGTTTCACAATATTGATTCTACCCATCCATGAGCATGGGATATGTTTCCATTTGTTTGTGTTGTCCTTCAACAGTGTTTTGAAGTTTTCCTTGTAGAGGTCTTTTACCACCTTGGTTAGATATATTCCTAAGAATTTTATTTTATTTTTTACAGCTATTGTAAAAGGGATCAAGTTTTTTATTTGATTTTCAGCTTAGTCACAGTTGGTGTACAGCAGGGCTACTGATTTGTGCACATTGATTTTGTATTCTGAAACTTTACTGAATTCATTTATCAGATCTAGGAGCCTTTTGGATGAATCTTTAGGATTGTCTAGGTATATGATCATATATCATCAGCTAACAGTGAGTGTTTGATTTCCTCTTTACTGATTTGGATGCCTTTTCTTTCTTTCTCTTGCCTGATTGCTCTGGCTAGCACTTCCAGTGCTATGTTAAATAGAAGTGGTCAAAGTGGGTTTCCTTGTCTTGTTGCAGTTCGTGGGGGGATGCTTTCAACTTTTCCCCATTCAGTATAATGTTGGCTGTGGTTTTGTCGTAGATGGCTTTTATTACCTTAACTTATGTCTCTTCTATGCCAATTTTGCTAAATGTTTTGTTTAAAAAAAGGGATGTTGGACTTTGTCAAATGCTTTCTCTGTGTCTACCAAGATGATCATGTGATTTTGGTTTTTAATTGTTTATATGGTGTATCACATTTATTGACTTGCATATGTTAAACCATCTCTGCATCCCTAGTATGAAACCTACTTGATCATGGTAGATTATCTTTCTGATATGCTATTGGATTCAGTTGACTAGTATTTTGTTGAGTATTATTGCATCTATGTTCATCAGGGATATTAGTCTGCAGTTATCTTTTTTGTGATGTCTTTTTCTGGCTTTGGTATTAGGGTGACACTGGCTTCACAGAATGATTTAGGGAGGATTCCTTTTTTCTCTATCTTTTGGAATAGTTTCAATAACATTGGTACCAATTCCTCGAATGTCTGATAGAATGCAACTGTGAATCCATCTGGTCCTAAATATTTTTGTTGGCAATTTTTTTATTACCATTTTAATCTCACTGCTTGTTATTGGTCTGCTCAGAGTTTCTATTTCTTCTTGGTTTAATCTAGGAGGGTAGTTTATTTCCAGGAATTTCCCCATCTTCTCTAGGCTTTCTAGCTTGTATGTGTAAAGGTGTTCATAGCAGTCTTGGATGATCGTTTGTATTTCTGTGGTATCAGTTGTAATATCTCCGATTTTGTTTCTCATTGAGCTTATTTGGATCTTCTCTCTTCCTGGTTGATCTCACTAATAGTCTATCAGTTTTGTTTATCTTTTCAAAGAACCGACTTTTTGTTTCATTTATCTTTTGTAAATTTTGTTTTGTTTCAATTTCATTTAGTTCTGCTCTGATCTTTGTTATTTCTTCTCTTTTGCTACGTTTGGGCTTGATTTGCTTTTGTTTCTCTAGTTCCTTCAGGTGTGACCTTAGATTGTCAATTTGTGCTCTTTCTGGCTTTTTGATGTAGGCATTTCATTTTATGAATTTACCTCTTAGCACTGCTTTTCTTGTATTCCAGAGGTTTTCATAGGTTGTGTCACTATTATTGTTCAGTTCAAAGAGTTTTAAAATTTCCATCTTGTCTTCATTTTTGATCCAATGATCATTCAGGAGAAGGTTATCTAATTTCCATGTATTTGCATGGATCTGAGGGTTCCTTTTTGAGTTGATTTCCAATTTTATTCCACCATTGTCTGTGGCAGTACTTGATATAATTTCAATTTTCTTGAATGTATTGAGGCGTGTTTTGTGGCCTATCATATGATCTATCTTAAAGAATGTTCCATGTGCTGATGAATAGAATGTATATTCTGCAGTTGTTGGGTAGAATGTTCTGTAAATATCTGTTAAGTCCATTTGTTCTAGAGTATAGTTTAAGTCCATTATTTGTTGACTTGTTGTCTTCATGACCTGTCTAGAGCTGTCAGTGGAGTATTGAAAACCTCCACTGTTATTATGTTGCCATCTATCTCACTTCTCAGATCTAGTAGTAATTATTTTATAAATGAGGGAGCTCCAGTGTTAGGTGCATATATATTTAGAATTGTAATATTTTCCTGCTGGACTAGTCGTTTTATTATTATACAGTGTCCCTCTATGTCTTTTTAAACTGTCGTTGCTTTAAAGTCTGTTTTGTCTGATGTAAGAATAGCTAATCCTGCTTGCTTCTGAGGTCCATTTGTAAGGAATATCTTTTACCACCCCTTCACCTTAAGTTTGTGTGAATCCTTAGGTGTTAGGTGAGTCTCTTGAAGGCAGCAGATAGTAGGTGGGAGAATTCTCATCATTTCTCCTGTTTTGTATTTTTTGAGTGGAGCATTTAGGCCATTTACATTCAACATTAGTACTGAGATGTGAGGAAGTAATCTATTCATCATGATGGTTGTTGCTTGAATATCTTGGGTTTTTTTTTTCATTGTGTTATTGTTTTATAGGCTTGTGACATTTATGCTTTAAGGAGGTTCTAAACAAAACAAGGTTTTGTTTCAAGATTTAAAACTCCATTTAGTAGTTCTTATAGTACTGGCTTGGTAGTGGAGAATTCTCTCAGCATATGTTTGTCTGAAAAAGACTGAATCTTTCCTTCATTTATGAAGCTTTATTTTGTTAGATGTAAAATTCTTGGTTAATAATTATTTTGTTCAAGGAGGCTAAATATAAATCCCCAATCCCTTTTAGCTTGTAGGGTTTCTGCTGCAAAATTTCCTGTTAATCTGATAGGTTTTCCTTTACAGGTTACCTGATTCTTTTGCCTCATAGCTGTTAAGATTCTTTCCTTCATCTTGACTGTGGATAACCTGATGACTGGGCGCCTTGGTGGTGATCTTTTTGCAATAAATTTTCCAGGTGTTTTTTGAGCTTTTTGTATTTGGATATCTAGATCCCTAGCAAGGCCAGGGAAGTTTACCTCAATTATTTCCTCAAATTATTTTTCCAAAGTCATAGATTTCTCTTCTTCCTCAGGAAAATCAATTATTCTTAGGTTTGGTTGTTTCACATAGTCCCAAACTTCTTAGAGGCTTTGTTCATGTTTTTGATTTTTTTCTGCTTTGTCTTTGAGCCTTGTTTTCAAGCTCTACGTTTCTTTCTTCTATTGACCCTGGAGGGACTCTCTCTGCTTTTAAGCTTCCAAATATAGAAGAATTTTTAAAACTTGTTATTTGCTCAGAGAAAAAAATGATAAAATTAACAACTTCCAAACAAAAGTTTGAAGAGAAGTTGAAGAAACGTGGAGAGTTTAATCTAAGGAATTTAAGGTTGGGATGAAATGTAGTAACAGGCTTTTCATAGTTAAGGTTACACAGGACAGGAGCCTCTTTGCTCTGAGCCCGTTCTCTCATGCAATGGCTGTAATAGAAGGGAGACTTCAAATGGAATGAACTTACCTCTTCTGGCCTCTTAGAGCTCAGTCCACCCAAAGGCCTCAAGGAGGGAGGCAACTGGTGTGCCTCAGGCTCCCGGAGGCAGTTGGTCATTGGAGATCTTTCTCTTCAACGGGGATCTTACGAAAGATTATAGGATGGCGAGAAGAGAGGTTTTCCTCACCTCCACTGCTAAGGGAGGTTGTTTCCTGACCTTGGCCTAAACGCCAGGCTCTTCTTTTGTGGTCTTCTCTGCTAATATAGGCTTCTGTTTGTTTTGTTCTTATTTTAAAATACAGGAATTTTCCATTTTACTCCTCTGTCTTAAATAACAACAGCTTTGAACACCTCTTCATTGTGTCTGAAATAAAGTTCTGACTCTTGGTTACGGTATTTATAGCTCCTCACATCCTGACCCTGATCTTGTTTAGCCCAAGTTTTTCAACAGATCCACTTGCTACCATCTACACCCTACATGGGCACAGGCATATGGGGATTTTCATGCCTCAGAACCTCATGTTTAAACTCAATCCAAATGCTGTTTCCTCTAAATCTTCCCTGATCCCTCATCAATGTAACAATGGCTCAGCATACATAGTTCTATAATCTAGTTTATGACATGGTTTTATAGTCTTAATTTTTTTGTTTCCTGTATCTATCTCTCCCATAGACTGAGCTCCCTCAGGCCAGATTCTCTATTTCTTTCTTTCTTTCTTTTTTTTTTGAGACGGAGTTTTGCTCTTGTTACCCAGGCTGGAGTGCAATAGCACGATCTCGGCTCCCCGCAACCTCCGCCTCCTGGGTTCAGGCAGTTCTCCTGCCTCAGCCTCCTGAGTAGCTGGGATTACAGGCACGTGCCACCATGCCCAGCTAATTTTTTTGTATTTTTAGTAGAGACGGGGTTTCACCATGTTGACCAGGATGGTCTCGATCTCTTGACCTTGTGATCCACCCGCCTCGGCCTCCCAAAGTGCTGGGATTACAGGCTTGAGCCACCACGCCTGGCCAATTTCTTTCTTTTTACTAACCTCAACATCTAGCACAAGGTCTCGCACAAAGACTTTGCTTAATAAATTCTGATTGAACTGCATATGCCCAGGGAAGACTGTGAGTTAATTGCAAAGGAAAGAATTTGTGACCTCTGCTCCCAGGCAAATGAGTTTGGGAAAAACTCTCAACCTTCCCCCTAGATGGTCTTAATATCAAGACCTCTTTTCTACAGTCTGTGCCTATAACTCCTAAGTCCCAGGCTCTGAAAAGAATTGCCTGGGTGTGAATCTAGACTCCCTGAAGTTGTGTGGCTTCTGGTGATCATTTAACCTTTAAATTTTCCTCAGCTGTGAAACCAAGGACTTCATAGCTGCATCTTAGTTCCGCTGTAAGAATGAAATAAGATAATCCACATAAAAATAACACCTCACATTTGTGGGCTAGGCACTGTTCTAGTGCTTTACATTTTGCCTTCTTTCTGACAACCACAAGAGCTGAGTGCTGTTTTAATCATTTGGCAGATGAGAAAACTGAGGTATAAAGGGGCCAAATATCTTTACAATGTTTGTTCACTTACCTATTAAGTGGCTAAGCTGAATTCTGCTTCTCAAGTCTGCATTCTTAACAACTCTTGACGTTTATTTTGTTTTTTGTTAATATTATTTTTAGCTTGCAAATCACAATTATATATATATTTCTAGGATAAAATGTGATGTTTTCATGTATGTATGCAACATGGAATAATTAAGTTAATTAACATATCCGTCACCTCACTGTGAAAGTTGTCGGAATCAAAATAAATCTCTTGTATTAATAGAGCTGAGGAAAACCAAGATGCACAAATGCCTCATAACAAGAACTATCACAGAAGGCTCAGCAAAAACCACAACTTTGTACAAAGGCTATCGAAACCTTACACAAAAATACACTTCTTCAAGGATGTCTGCCCAGCAACTGCCTGTCCAGCCTCAGACTGGCCACCACCTTTGTCATTGATCCTTGTAGCCAAGGATAATTACCCTAAAACAACTATGTGTTCCTCTCCATTTTTCCCTTAAAAACCTTTGTCTTCCTTTATTTCCCTGAATATACATATAGTTGACTATGGCATGCATATTCCTATTGTAATACCTATTCCTGAATAAATAGCATTTTCTTTTTGAGAGTCTCCCTCTTTGCTTGTTATTTAGGTTGACATCATCTACCCATCATTTTTTGTGGTGAGAACTTTAAAATTTGTTCTCAGCAATTTTGAAATATACAGTATATTGTTATTAATTATGGTCACCCTGCTGTCCAATAGATCTCAAAAATGGATTCGACTTGTCTAAATAAATCTTTGTATCCTATGACATTATATTCTATACTTCTTACATTAAGAGCATCAATTTGAACCATTTAATGTGAACTAGGAATATTATGATTCCACAGCTTTTCTTCACACCAAGGTTTTCTGTCTTCTCAAGGTAGTTTTTGAAATTTTTACAGACACAGAATGTTAAAAATCAATTTATGCATGCAAGGCATTTATGAATGCAGTTGAAAATAGGTCATGCAAATAATTATCAAGGGTCACATATCAGAAAGCAACTGCGAAAATACTACCTTGTGATTATGATGAATTGATAGCTGCTGATGAGGGAAAGATATTTGTTTTTATTTTTCTCTTTTCCTAGCATCAGGCTCTCACTCTGTCATGCAGGCTGGAGTGCAGTGACATGATTATAGCTTACTGCAGCCTTGAATTTCTGGGCTCGACAGATCCTCCTGCCTTAGTCTCCCCAGTAGCTGGGAATACAGGCATGTACCACTATGCCCATCTGATTATTTTTCCATTTTTTGTATAGACAGAGTTTCACTTTGTTGCCCACTTTGTTGAACTCCTTGGCTCAAGGAATTCTCCTGTCGCAGTCACAAAATGTTAGTATTACAGGTTTGAACCACCATGCCTAGCCTATACTTGATTTTGTTTCCTTCCTTCTGGAAAGCTAGGAGTATTTATTTACCTACTTATTTGTTTGTTCGTTTATAGGCAAAATGGGCATTCTCATTTAAATTTGTGATATTCAATTTAGAAGTCAGAAGGGTGATGTCATGTAGTAATCACAGTCTTTTAAAGCAAATTTCTCATTGTCAGACAACCAAATTAACTGGCATAAATGTATGACAAATTGTGAAACAGTTGATTGAACCAATTGCCAAATAGAGGTCTATTCAGATAATAACGCAGTGCTCAACACACTTTAGCACAGATTATATGAAAAGTCTTTATTTAGCAAAAGCAGAGATCAAAACTGTTGTCCTACTTTTATTTTCTCAAGGATAATATGATTGTAATAATACTAATTTGATTGCCTTTGGTGAAAACAATTTCTGGGCTCCATTCACTGGAAAGTACATTAAGTTTTGTCAGTAAATGTGATCATATAGCAGAAAAGGATGGAAGGTTAGAGTGAGTTTTTTTCTTTACTTTCCTTTGTAAAAGACTCCGTATGTTACAAGTGATGGGCACAAGAGTAAAGTGATGTTTGCAAGGTTCTGATTCTTCCAATACCAATACATTGCTTTCTTATTTTTTTGATATTCCTCAAGCCTTATAAGCTCCCATAGTTCCTAGGAAATATACTTCAACAGTGATGCTTTGGGGTCACACTGGTGCTGATGGTGCTTCATTCCCAAAGGGCATGGACAAGCATGAAAGGGAAGGATGGGCAGGGCGGGGCTCAGCGCTGCAGGTTCATGCTGTTGTTTTAACCACCTTGCCCTGCTCTATGAGTTCTTTCCTCACCACGACCCAGATGTCACTCAAGCTAGGCAGCGTCAATAGAAATAATGGTAACATATTTTTCTTCCTTTCCAATGGTTGTTATACCATATTTGCTAGAACTTTCAGAAAACGTTGAACAATCACATGAAAATGAACATTCTTGTCGTGTTCTTGATTTCATGGCATTCACGAAATATATGCCGCCTCTCCACAGCCCTGCACTAATGATAGAAACCAGGACTCAGTCTCAGAACTCTTTCTACAGAGCTTAAATGTTGTTGATGCATCAGTCTCCAACTAGCTCTACCCCCACAGCTACCGCCAGCTGATAGGAATGAGCAAAGACAGTGAAAATCACTGGCCATTTACACTCTAGAGTTTTGCATGTGTGAAAAGTATTCTTCTGATTTTGTTTACTTAGACATTTCTTTCATCATTCTTTTCTTTTTAAAACAAGGATGCATGCTTAGACCATTTTCCAAGATGATTATATGCTTTTTTCATTTGGCTATTATTATCATGAACCAAATCAATTTCATAATGTTGAATCACTCAAATTTCTGGCTGAACTATTCCTTGGCCATGATACGTATACTCATATATTTGTTAATGCTTTATTTAGTCTTTTATATCTATTAATATATCAGCAAGTGATGTTTACCTTCAGTTTTATGAAACTTTATGTTAAAACCATGTGTTAGTATCAAAGTTTTGCTAACTTACTAACAGCACTTGAGGAATTCCATCTCTTGCTCTGCCCTAGAATTTTAAATTGTATAAAATTCATCTATTTCTGACAGTCTGTAGTCTTGCCTGGGAAACCATCTGGGCTGAGTAATTCTTGGAATATATTTTCAATTTCGTCCATGATTATTGGTATATTCACATTTTCTTCCTCTTCTTCAGTTAGATCTGGCAATTTACATTCTCCTAAAAAATGTATTCACTTTATCTATATTTTTGAATTTAGTCTTAAAGAGTTACAGCTACATTCACTTAGAGTTGTGTTAAAGTGGAGACCAGGCCTGAAGAAGCCCTGAGCAGACAAAGCCAGTTGAGTCTCATAAATGACCATGACCTCAACCTTGCTTTTTTTTTTTTTTTCAGACAGAGTTTCGCTCTTGTTACCCAGGCTGGAGTGCAATGGCGCCATCTCGGCTCACCGCAACATCCGCCTCCTGGGTTCAGGCAATTCTCCTGCCTCAGCCTCCTGAGTAGCTGGGATTACAGGCAGGTGCCACCATGCCCAGCTAATTTTTTGTATTTTTAGTAGAGACGGGGTTTCACCATGTTGACTAGGATGGTCGCGATCTCTTTTGCTCGTGATCCACCCGCCTCGGCCTCCCAAAGTGCTGGGATTACAGGCTTGAGCGACCGCACCCGGCCCCTCAACCTTGCTTTTACAAACATAAGTGAAACTTCACTTGAGCTGTTTCTTGCAAATGCCTATACAATATTAAAACAACAACAACAACCAAACAGAACTGGAGCTCAACCAATTAGAAACAGGCAACAAACTTATGTAGCTGGGACTTTCCAATGGGATAACCAAGGAAAGCTATTACATAACTGTAACCAAATGTTTTCTTTGCTTTACTTCTGCACTTGTTCTATGAAAACTTCCCTCTTGTGTTCCCTTAATGGAGCTTCCAAACTACTTCTGGTTGGGAGCTATGGATTCATGAATCATTTGCTCAGATAAACACTTCACAATGTTATTGTGCCTCAGTTTGCTTAACTGTTGTTATATTCTCTAGCCTATACGTTATATTGTAAGTCTAAAATGTTAAAAATATTTGTTTTTTCTTTATCATCATTTTTACACGTTAAAATTGCTTATTTTATTGGTCTTTGCAAAGAAACAATTGTTGGATTAGTGTATTCATTCTACCACTGTTTTGTTTAATTTTCTACTTTTGTCTTTGTTATTCTTACCCTTCTACATTCATACTTACTTTGTTTGCTCTTGTTTTCATAGTTCAATAAAAGCATTCAGGACACTGAGTACTGTTCTTTGGCTATGCCATTTTCTTCATTCTCCTAACACTTGCTCCCAGTATCATTAATTTCTAAAATACCTTGTTTTAATTAAAACAAATTTTTTTTTTAGATGGAGCCTTGCTCTGTTGCCGAGGCTGGAGTGCAGCGGCGCAATCTTGGCTCACTGCAACCTCTGCCTCCTGGGCTTAAGCAATTCTCCTGCCTCAGTCTCCTGTGTAGCTGGAACTGCAGATGCCTGCCACCACACC